GAGAGAGAGAGAGAGAGAGAGAGAGAGAGAGAGAGAGAGAGAGAGAGTATGAGCAGGGGAGGGGCAGAGAGGGAGACAGAGAATTGGAAGCAGGCTCCAGGCTCCGAGCTGTCAGCACAGAGCCCGACGTGGGGCTCAAACTCACACACTGTGAGATCATGACCTGAGCCGAGCCGAAGTCAGACACTTAACCGACTGAGCCACCCCCGTGCCCCTCTTAAGCCAGGGTTCTAATTGAGCTTGCCTCTGTCCTCTGTGAGCGACTGCATTTCCTCCCACTTCCTCAGGTGATGCAATGGATGATGTTGCAGGGTCCATCATTTGAGATCACCTGTTTCCCTTCAGGGAAGTCATGGGATGAGAGAATACACAATGCTCCTGTCAGCCAACAGCGCTGGCTATCCCCAAGATGGCACCCGTGAAGTGGGCACCATCTTCTTGGTTCTGTTTAGTTCTTGACTGTGAGACTTGTGGTCATGTGTGATTTCTCCTTTTGCCCAGGCTTCAGTTGCTCACTCTGGGAAACCCTGGAACAAGGCATTGGGCCAGCTTGGTTATTTAAATGGAAGGGGTGTCAGATCAAGAATGTTGAGTTGGGGTCAGATCCATACCAGAGCGGCGAGCATCTGTATGTCCCTAATTTTACTTGTTTGTTTTTCTCTCTGCTGCTACTTCTTGCACCTTCTACTGCCTATTACTTAGTCTTTTAAAAGGTCATCTTTTTTTTAAAGTTTTTGTTTTAATTCCAGTTAGTTAACATGCATTGTTATATTAGTTTTAGATGCACAGTATAGTGATTCAACACTTCCATGCATCACCCTGTGCTCATCACAACAAGTGTACTCTTCAATCCCCATCATCTATTTCCCCCCACCCCCCACCCCCCAACTCTGGTAACCATCAGTTTGTTCTCTATAGCTGAGAGTCTGTTTCTTGGTTTGTCTCTCTCTTTTTTCCTATGCTTGTTTGTTTTGTTTCTTAAAATCCATGTGAGTGGAATATATGGAATGTGTCTTTCTCTGACTGGCTTATTTCACTTAGCATTATACTCTCTAGCTCCATCCATGTCGTTGCAAATGGCAAGATTTCATTCTTTTTGTGGCCAAATAATAATCCATTTTATGTATATACCACATCTTCTGTATCTATTCATCAACCGATGGACACTTGGGCTGCTTCCATAGCTTGGTTATTGTACATAATGCTGCTGTAAACATAGGGGTGCGTGTATCTCTTTGAATTAGTGTTTTTGTATTCTCACTACTGGGCATTTACCCAAAGAATACAAAAACACTCAAAGGTCATCTTTGACAAAAACAAAAAAAAACAGACAAACAAGAAACCTCAAGCCTTCCTTTTATGGCTCTTGTGGTTATCCTCTCTCCATTTCCATGAAAGTTCCCTTGGTTTTGGGGTAAGGTTATGAAAAATGTGGGGTTTTTGAAAATTTCCTTTTTCCCTTTATTAAGATTGTTTTAAAATTGATGATAAAAGTAGAAGGGCTTGCTAGGAAAAAATTAGAAACTTGTAGTAAGCAGAACCTACGGGCGCTGCTGACAGGATTGGTCCCCACTCCTCCTCGATGTCTCCCTGGCCAGTTTCACGGCCACACCTTCCAAGCTGCCCCAGCCTCTCCCCCAGCCTTGCTGGCTGTCTGGCACATCTGGTTTTGTACATCAGGACTCCAAGTGGAATCTGTGGGTCTAAGTAGGCAAGTGGAGTCTTTGACAAGCTTCAGGTGAGCCTGAAGCAAAGCCAGAGTCAGGAACGCACAGACTTTTCTCTGTTTCCAGGGGATCCTACACAGCACTGAGAGGCATCAGGCACGGGTTACACTTTGGAGACAGATGCAACAGAACACACTGCACATTGGATTGGGATTGACATGGAGGGAGAAGGAGAGATGACCATACAAAGTTAGGTTGGGAGAGTACCACATGGCCTTCTCTGTCATTGTGCCCTTTGTGAACAAATGGGTCAGATCCTTCCCTGAGAATAGGTTGTGACAGAGGGTAGGAGAAGAATTGAGGACACTGATGCCAGGGGACAGAGTGTCAGAAAGGGGAAAGATGGCCCAACCCAGACCTGCCGTGTTCTTCCGTAACTTGGTTTAGTGTCAACCTTATCCGGCTGGCTTGTCCGGAAGAACTTGGAAAGTGAAATGAGATGTGGCTTCAGAACACACCTTGTAAACCTGAAGGAATTTAAGGGAGTGGGTGCTTTCTCTCAGCCCTCCATGGGCCTCCATGAGAAGACAAGCACGGGGCCCTGGAGGACCAGGCCACTGCTCTTCATGGCCGGTCCCAGGCAGGGCACTGCCCCAACCGCTGGTCTGGTCAGCCCCTAACTGTGGGAACTTTGGGAAAGTATCATGGGAACTCTCTGGTTTGGGAAGAGAAGGGCCCAGACCTGTTGTTTCACACATGAGTGGCTAGAGGCCACAGCGAACCCCTCGTACCTGTGGAACTGGGGCTGGACCAGTGCTCTTCCCACACAGCCACACCCCCGGGGGATCCTGGGAAGCTTTAAAGGGCATAACTTTCAGACATTACTTTTGTTGTCTTCTCCTGTAAGTGTCATTTGGTCACTTCAGCATCTAAGGCCAGTTGCTGCCCACGTCGAGGAGCTTGTGGAGGTCACTACAGTTTGACGATAGTGAATATTAATCGTCTCTGATGCATGATTTGCAAATGTCTGCTTCAAGAACTTTCTCAGCTGTTTGGAGGGAGTCCTCCCAGCAACTGAGTGTTAGGTGGAGTCGTTAAGCTATAAAAGGGGGCTTTATGTGGGGTAACTGGGCCTACGAGGTGGGCACTGTGGATGGGTTACTCTTGACAAGTGGCTAATTGGTGTTCTTCACTATAAGCTGGGCCACCCGAACCAGTAACAGAGTAGGATAACCAATCGGGCTTCATTGACAGTGTTTTCTTCTCCCATTCTTGGGGGCCACTGCATACACCTGACCAGGTCTGTCTTTGTTTTTTTTCAGGACAGATTTCTGCGTACACAAAGATGAACCGTGTGACACCGTTGGTAAGTCTAGAGGCAGAATAATAATAATTTAAGGGGCTGCCGCACCCCTGTGATAATCTGGAGACTTGGTAAGACTTCTAGTCTGGAGGAACTGTCCTCAGACACACTCTGCCTTTTCTGTTGCCTCTTTTCTTATAAATTAGTTCTTTGACTTTATTTTACTTCATTTTTTTTTCCTGATAAATGTTGAGGTTGCTCATGGCAGAAGGTGTCCAAACAGATGCTTAATAAGGAAGGTATGAAAAGTTAAACCATAGAAGGTGTCTCCAGGGGCTGCCTAAAGGTGACTGTGGCTGGGGACACAGTTGGCACTGAGCCTCTTGGTCACTCATGCAGGAGGGGAACCCCCCCCCCCCACCAAGTTAACACAGTTGTCATGAGACAAAAGCTTACCGTTTACTCTCGTGCATGTGGGTGATCTTTACCAAGTGTCCTACAGGTGACTGTATGGGGGTGAGACACGTCTCCTCTGCCAGTCTGGGCACCAGGCTCGTTTCCTTCTGGTCAAATGGTACTGAGACCAACACGTGGCGCTGACAAGGCACATTTTTCTTCTTCCCCTTCCCTCCCTTCCTCCCTCCTCCTACTTTTGCTTCCTCACTCAGCTTTTTCTTCATTTGCCATTTTTTTTTTTTTTCTCTTCTATCCTCAGTTGTATCTGGCTTGTTGTTGACGTGTTGTAGGTTTCACACTGGAACCAGTCTTTGAGCATAGGAATAGGGCCCTTGGTTAACAGAGGAAACCCCAAGACGGTTTCCAATTTTGACTGCTGTAGCACTAACCTTTATCCACCAGGAGGTTGAAATATTGTACTGCCAAGAGCAAGATTCTGAACGTGATGTGCTTTGAATTGTAGTAAAACGGTATGGGATTGACAAATATATATTATTGTGGAATTCAAATGTTTAAAAACCTGTGTTTCCTAGGGAGTCCTGACAGTGGGTAATCCTGAGCCTTTGGGCCACATATGAGCTGGGTGACCTTGATCATTTTAAACTAGGTGGCTTAAAAGGCCCTACAAAATCTAGTATGATGGGGGGGTGCCTGGGTGGTTCAGTCTGTTAAGTGTCTGACTTCAGCTCAGGTCATGATCTCACTGTTTGTGAGTTCAGGCCCCTCGTCGGGCTCTCCCTGACAGCTCAGAACCTGGAGCCTGCTTCAGATTCTGGGTCTCCTTCACTCTCTGCCCCTCCCTCACTTGTGTGCACGTACTATTTCTCTATCACTCAAAAATAAATAAATAAACGTTACCAAAAAATCTAGTATGATGATAGCTAGCATTCATGTCACATTTTAGAGTTTTTGAAATGATTTTTTTTATCTTATATTCCACCAGTCCCTTAAACAAATCTGGGAGACAAGTGTCAAAAACTGCCCCACCAATCCATGCTTCATTGTCAGGGGCTGTCTCCATAAAGGAATCGCTATGCAAATGCATCATAAAATCGGCTCCAACAGAGGGATAGCTGACACCCGTCGCAGTCCAGTTGGGGCTTGAGGAAGACCAGTATCCCTTGGCAGAGCCAAAAAAGCATGTACTATCTCAAGGAGTGGCTGTTCCTTCCCAGCATTTGTTCACAAATCAGCTTCTGCACTTCTGCCCAGCAGGGGGTGGGGGTTGAGGCTGCTCCAGACCCCTCCCACTCCCTGTGCTAGCCTCTGAGGAGATACCCTTTGCATTGCCCTTGCCTGAATGTCTTTCCCAGAAGACTCTGTACCAGGCAGGGCCAAGCTCTGCCCTTCACCTGTGTGACCTGGTACAGGGCTTTCAAGTCTTGGTCACCACTGTTAATTGATTGATTGATTGATTGATTGAATGCATGCATACACGCAGATGAAGGAATTGCAGGTTTTCTTTCATATGATTTATAGCTGGCTTTCTTTTGAGTATATAATTTTCACATCAACCATCAATTGTGATTATGTACTCTATTTCAGACCCCCTGTTAAAGAGTGAACAGCTAGTTCTGTCTTCCTTCTTTCTTCTGAACTAGTTCACCTTGCTACTTAAGTCCCATCTGCTAAGGCTATTCTATTGAAGTACCATAGATTGGGCTGCTTAAACAACGGAAATTTGTTGTCTCATGCTTTTAGAGGCTGGAAGTCCAAAATCAACATGTCGGCCCTGTTGGTTTCTCCTTGAAGCCTCTCCCCTTGGTGTGCAGATGGCTGCCTTCTCCCCCATGTCCTTAGCTGGTCTTTCTTGTGTGTGTCTGTGTCCGGACTGCCTCTTTTTTTTTTTTAACTTAATTATTTATTTTGAGAGAGAGAAAGAGAGAATCTCAAGCAGGCTCCGCCCTGTTAGCACAGAGCCCAGTATGGGGCTCTAACTCATGAACCATGAGACCATGACCTGAGCCGAAACCAAGAGTCGGACAGTTAACCAACTGAGCCACCCAGGCATCCCCTGATCACCTCTTCTTTCACGGATACCAGTCATATTCCATTAGTGCCCCACTCTCATGACCTCATTTAACCTTTGTTACCTTTTAAAAGCCCTGTCTCCCAATACATTTACATTGGGAGTTAGCACTCCAACATAGGAATTTGGGGGAGGGGGGCACAATACAATCCATAGCACTATTCATTTGACACTTTGCATACTGCTGGGGAAATCTTACGTCCTTATGTGACCTCCCAGATGTGTGTGTCTCATTTCCTCCCCAAAGTCTTTTAATTGCATGGACCAGCTGTAATAATTCTTTATGTGACAGCCGGTTAGCTCAGGGCTGCACTAGCCCCGTCTCTTACTTCCTTATTGCATGCTCTTTCCAATACCTCAGTGATTTTCAGCTTTTACAAAGGAAATGAATCCCTTCCTTGAAAACAAAAAATAGTTACATGGTGCTTTTGTTTTAATGTGTCATAATTTATTTGTACTATTAAGTCAGTTCGTAAGGACAATGGTGAGTCCAGGAAGAGAAAAATTTGAAAGCTGGGGTTATGACAGGCTTCTAGCAGTCTCATTTGATCTGTTTCTGTGCTTTTTTAACTTTTTATTTTGAAATAATTATAGAATAGCTGAAGGTTGCCAGAGTAATTCAGAGAAGTCTCTTGTACCTATCACCCCACTTCCTCCCATGGTTACATCTTATGTAACCGTAGTGTTATTTCCAAAACCAGGAAATTGATTGGCACAATGCAATGAGCTAGACTACAATTCTACTCAGATTTCACAGGGTTTTTGCATGAACCCATTTTGGGGTATGTTTTTACATATGGTTCTGTGACATTTTATCCCATATGTAGATATTCATCCAACCCCCAGGAGAGTCAGGAGCAGAACCAGTCCATCACCTCCAAGCAACTCCCTTGGGCTGCTCCTGTAGAATCTCCCTTCCTCCCTCCCTCCCTCCCTGCCTCCCTCCCTTTCTCTAACCCCTGGCTACCATGTATCTGTATTCCATCTCTGTAGTTTTGTCATTCCAGCATCCAATTTATTTTTGTATTTTGTTTTGATTCCACGGAATGGAAAAAATAATCTGAATCACATAGATATGTGGTTGCCAGTGCTGAGAGATTTTGAACAGCTGCCTTCAAATCTCAGGATCCAGCTCTACCAGGAGGGCTGTGCCCTGGGTTCTGCAGAAAATGAGATAATGTGGTACCTTGAGAAACTTAGGAAAGCTTGGGAATCGCCAGTGTTTTATAACTTGGCATATTACAGTGTTTTTTTGTGTGTGTGCTTTCTTGTTTTGATTAGGGTATAACTTACATATGGGAAAGGGTGCAAATCTTGGTGAAATTTTAAGTTATGCCTATGCGCTTTTTTGGTATTTATTGAAATAGTTTTAAAGCTGCATTTTGAATTCTATTTTAACCTATTTTTAAATGGTGGTAAAATGTATATAACATAAAACTTATACCTAAAATCTTAACCATTTTTAAGTGTGTGTTTCAGTGACATTAAGTACGTCCACACTGTTGTGTGATCATATGTATGTAGTCTCAAAACCACTACTCAGATTAAGGTATGGAATGTCATCTGACCCCTTCAAAAGTTCCCTCCTATCCCCTCCCAGCCACTATCCCTCCGAAAGTAACTTACCGTTGTAAATGTTTTATTACTGTCCTGTAAAGTAGCTTAAAATAGATTTAAAAGTTAAATTTGAACGATCCATTTGGAGAATCTCTGAGGTAGTTAGTAGAATTTGGGGTTCTGTTAAAAATACTTCCCCTCAAAAAAAAAGGGGGGGTGGCGCCTGGGTGGCTCAATTGGTTAAGCATCTGATTTCAGCTCAGGTCATGATCTCACAGCTCATGGGTTCGAGCCCCGTGTCAGGCTCTGTGCTGACAGCTCAGAGCCTGGAGCCTGCTTCGGATTCTGTTTCCCCCTCTCTTTGCCCCTCCCCTGCTCACACTCTGTCTCTCTCTCTTCAAAAATAAACATAAAAAGAAAATTTAAAAATACTTCCCCTCTACATTGTTCCATCTGCATTAGCCCATTTCAGCAGACCAGGACCCTGATTGCAAGGAGCAAGCAAAAAGGGCGTTTATCAGAAAGGGGCCGCCATGACGGTGGCAGATCTGGTGGGAACACAGCACCCTAGGCAGCCCTGGCAGGTGAGGCCATAGACACCATGCAGAGGTCAGTGTTGGGGCCTGCAGGGAATGGCCTCCATCTGTCTGCACAGCCAGCTGTTTTTCACCAGCTCCCAGGCCTGCCCTAGGTCACCTGCGCGGGATGTGAGGGGGGCTCTGGCTCTTTGGGCTTGCACAGGGGGGGCTATACTGCTTCCCACAACAATGCATGGGAAGGAGTTCTCCATGGGGAGGGGGGGGTGGTCCGCGTGCTTTAGCCAGGAGGAGGGATGGATGCTGGACATTCCAGAACCACCAATGTTCACTACATCCTTTCAGTAAAGATTGAAATATGAGAGACCAGCATATCTGCAGCTTACTGTCTGTGCACATCACAAGGGTCCTACTAACAGATGCAAGGGGAGCTTCCCTGGCCCTAACCAAGGTGGTCCCGACCCCTGAGGGGGCTCGCCAAGATC